TTGGTAGGTTTATTCTCCGGGGTGGGCCAACCGATGTCTCTAGGTCTTTGGTCGCTTTGAGAAACCGGATAAAGGGCGGATACAGCAGGTCGAAGAGGTTAAACGAAGCCGAGGGCGGCCAAGCCCTGACGTCGTCCTGATCGATCTGCGTTGCTCCTCCCGCTCCCAAGCCTTCTCGTTTATGCTGCTATCCGTGGGTTCAAAGTTTTCGCTCAGGTAACGTCACCGCTTTCGGGAAGGCCGCCTTCCCTTCTATAACGCTACAACAGAAAGCGCGGTTTTTCGGGAATTTACCAGGATCTGGTTTTCCCCTCTTTCAGGAATCCGTTAACCCCGGAATGCAGGCTAAGCAGGCATCAAAAAGCTCCACGATCCATTTCGGGGTGTCTCACTCAAGGCGATTGACTGATTGTGTCCTTGTTATGTGTCCGTGCGTCCCTCTACATGCGGCCCGGTCAAGCGCGAGCGCGCTAAATCCTCCTATAGCTACAAAGAACATTACATGTTGTTGCCATTGGCGGGCTAATTGATGAGCCCCACTCTGTACATCGCAGCAAGGCATAAGCTAGCATGCGGTAGCACGATAAGCCGAGAGATACCGGTTAGTCGTTCCGGACGCAGATGCACAAGATGTCAATGCGGTGGGGATCCATCAGGTGGCATTACATGAATATGGCAGCTGTACAAGATCGTATGACCATCCGCTCACTGGCGTACTTAAGCGGAACTCTCGTCAGACTCGTCACTTTTGCACTTGGCGACATGTCTGGCCCACGGCATCAAGCTGAGCAGTAGACGTTTCATGTATAGAGCAGCAAACGCAGGCACCATAGCATGGCACTGCAGATTTGGCTCGGCAGGTCGATGACGATCGATCGGATTCAAATCACCAGGTAGAATAAGCGTTGCCGCTTTACATGCGCATCCTCGTCCGTGGGAAGAAGCGGATAAATCCCGCCGACACTGCATGGTGGGAAAAGCCGATTTGTGGTGACTCCGTTATATGCGGTAACGGCATTTGAAAGATGAAAAGCGTGGGTCAGGCGAATAATTGCCACATTGAGATACTTTTACCCATCTCGATCGCACCCTTGCCTAATAAAGTGGGTGGCGCTTCGATGTTTCCTGTTGTTCTCTACCAAAATGGACCGACAGATCGCCACGGTGGCCTCCTCCGTCCGCCCGTACAACCTGAAATGTCCGTCGCGTCCGCTGAGCGGGCCTGCACCTGTGTACGCATGCCATGCCTCCTCTTGGCTGTAGGATATGACCACCACTGTTTCTCCCAGACACCTGTCTCGGTTCGGGTTTACGCGTAGAAGCTGTCAACCTCGGCGTCCTCTGGTGCTGCTGCTGCTTCTGCTTCTTCTTCTGTGTCAGATCCCGAACTTTATGCGTGTCTCAACAGGTCATCGGTGATGCACAACAAACTGTTCTCTGTTGACGGCTGAGACCGTGCCACAATGCGTGCCGCGCGCTTCTTTTGTTTGCCTGTTGGACGCATGCCCGATAACCAGTGTTGGATAAATCCCGTCCGGGCTATGTCAGCCCTTGCTCTTGTCTGTCGGCGGCTGTTTCCAACGATGAGACCCCCATCCGGTCCGGCAATTGGCGGAGTGGGCGGTCGGTGACCGGACCTTGATGTGTTATCGTTGTGGTAGTCTGCTCGCCATCTGGCATGCATCTGATGCGCTACGATCGATAGGGGAAGCAGGCACACAGCCCCTCCCCTCGTTCTATTTGGTAAACAAAGCACAATGGGGCAATTGATACACGGCAGTCCTGGCTGTTTCGGCCCGAGCCTAGCACATCATATCCACCGAGACCGCCTTCCGGCGACTTGCCACCCCACGAGTCACAGGCTGTGCCTTCCTCTCACCTGACTCGACCACTTGTTTACTGCATAGCATTCCCCATCCCGGACCGAAGCTCTCCCGCTGCGGTAAATCCAGGTGATCGACACTGGATGCATGCATCCATCTCACCCATGCCTCACCGAATGCATCAATAGTCTGGCGAGGCTGATCAAGTGACCGTGTATAGGTGACAGTCACGGTTAAAGTTACGGTTTGCATAGATCTTGAAAAACGCATTCGCCAACTTGTACATCGCGTCCTGCATTCGTCGGTGAATTGCACAAAAAGGATCTCGGTATCGTATGCTTAAGGAGAAGGTTGAAGGCGCCGGATGAGATCCTCCCTCGGTCTGTTTTCAAGTCACCGTACGAATGCATCTGGGACACCGGTCTGGTCACCGAATTTGGTTGCAGATCGAGTACGACGTCCTCTGACTCGGAATCTCAAAACTCAAAAGTAACACCAAAACCTTGAACAGACTGACCACTTCAGATGTGGTGATGTACCTCGTCATAGCCCTCGCTTCGGAATCGCTCCAAGCGGCGTTACGACACTCGTAGAAATCTTCTTATCCTGTCCTGTCTAATAGACTTATTCCGTTTTTGCTCATGTCCTTCGAACCTGAACACGTCGTAGCATACCCTCGCTTGGGCTCTTTCGTAAAAATCCAGATGACTACTGATAGCGATGGATATCCCGCTACAAAGCAAAGTCTGGAATCTCTGGTCCTTGCCTCTTCGTCGTTTGTGACATCCAAGCGAGCATCAACGTTCATCATTTGCATTCGGTTATTCCGAGGAAGAAGCTGTACGGCAGTCCTTGAGCCTCGTTTGATAGCTGCAAGCAACTCCGAGCGAGAGATTGGGGCACAGCAACGCATCCTCCGCTAACTGCTCACCGCATCTCGCGATAGAAAGCACGACATCCACCAATTTGCAACGTTCCTTCCTCGCTAATCCCCAACGACTTTCGTCCGTCGAGCACCATTTAGAGCGTCGGTGGACTCTGTCATTCGCCGTGACCGTGGATCAATACTTGGTGGTCATGCCATGCATTCGACGAGGACATGAGGCGCAGAGGCCAAAGTGCAGGGAGGGTGAATGCGGCGAGGTACCAACTGACTGTGCACCCTGAGAAGATCTTCAGGTACAGCCCACCGAACCTTAACCCGCCCATGCCTAGTTCATCTGCTTTCCCCTTCTCTTGAGTACAAGCACTCGCATTATCATGCTTCCCTACAGGAGTCCAGGGCAGGCACATTGTATCTACGGGAAGAGAAACATGCTTGAGAACGTTGGAACATCGGAGATAGATCTCGAACGATGAGCTCGAAGAGGCGAATGCGTGAGTATAAGGGAGGGACGAACGAGGCTATGAATAGCATGTCAATGATCGACACGTAGAGCTCGGTGGACGGTCTTTGCAGGGCGCATCCGACTCCTATTGACATACTCTAGAAGACTACCTAACGAGCGGTCACATCAGCGCCAGATGAACAACAAACGGGACTTGTCGATGGGGATGGGGCAAGTGGACAGGGCGGTGCCTAAATTGGACCTGATCCTACTGCGCTCCTACAGGATATCATGGACAGCCTATTGCCAACATCAATGGCCGGGGCCTCGCACGTCGAGCGTCCGATACAGTAGATCCTGGAGAAGCTGGTGACCCTGCAGGCTATGAGCTTGATGAGGACGATCTCGGAGAAGGATCCCCGGGCTGATCTCACCATATCTGCCCCTGATGGCGGTTGTGTTGCAAGTGGCATTTGTGTCTGGCTGTGAGTCGTGCACTAAAGTGGCGGGCCGTATCAGTCACCACGAGCCTCTGCCCGAGGAGTAACGCACAAGTGAGAGTAGCTGTGTGGCATTCGTCCTACCATCTCCAGACCTGCTCACGCATAACAGGTCAGCTGAGAGCCGTTCACTGCGTCGTGGCACTCTCCGAGCTTGATCAGTGGGTCTCGTTGAAGAAGTCGTCACCAGGCGCTGACTTAACGCAAGAGATCTTGACGATATCGATGCATATTAAATGCATCGGCCGAGCCAGCCAAGCTGTGGAGTGATTCTTGGGGGAAGCACTTCCCCTGCCCTCGCTCCTCGACTTTCTATTGGTGTGACAACCGGCTCAACCTATACAGTCGGGACAGATTCCCACATCGACAGACGGCTCAGTCTCAGTGACGTCAATATCAGCAGCACAATGCCAAGCTGCCCCCGGTCGCAGCGAGTGTGGCGGTGACAATACGGCGATCCGGTATGAACCGGTGTATATACCCCGACAAGCACTTTGCGTGACCAAGCATGCTTACTTGTCTCCGTCAATTGCTTCGGCTGGGAATGGTCTGGAACTTACGATCGGACACCAAATTCTTGAACTCCGGATAGGCGCAAACAGCGACAGGACGACAGACAACCCAAAGTCTTCCCGGTACATATCACTCATCAAAAGACGTCGTGGTCCACGACCTGTTGTCGCGCTTGCCGGCGTCTGCCAATGTTGGAAGGGGTTGACCGAACTGCCCACACCTCGAGGAGGTGACATACGTTCGCACGTACGCTCATTCGGCTTTGCTTGCGCGCTGAATTTGGACGAATCTTGATACGAATGATATAAGCAAGCCGAGTCTCGGCTACACGTGCCACGCATCGCAGCGATACGCCAAGGCATCTGACAGTCTTGACTACGACGTCCGTGAGATCTTTACTTCCCCATTGACAGCTTAAGTGACGAATGTAGGCACGGAATCCTGCCCACGACAAGATCTGCATATGGTCTGACGACGTCTTGTTGATTCAGCTGACAGCTGACAAGGCACGACGCGAGGTCCGAGGAGTGAGATGGTCACCGCCCAGAGCCTATCGAGCCCCTCGGCATGGAAGGACGATCTTCCGACCTTATGCGGGCCAGCACAAGCGCGCACTCCCACGCATATATCGGGGTCTTTGAGCAAATGAGTACCTTAGCTAGCAGAGTACGACACGTGCAGCTGAAATTATGAGTCATCAGTCGGCACTCGAGAGTGGAAAGCTCGTGACAGTCGGATTATGACTCAGCGACTGACGTTTACAAGAATTTCGGTATAATCGCGAAAGCTTACGATACGTATATGATTGATTCAGCGGCCCTGTATTTTTATGCCTCTCCGGTATAGTACATCGGCTAGTATATCCGCCTTTCAAGATTCGTCTGGTTGTCGCGGGAGAGCGGGGTTCGATTCCCCGTACCGGAATTTTTTTCTTGAACCTGTACCTCAATGGCTGTTCCTCTTTTGCCACATCCACTATTCCCGTCAGTGGCCGAGAGCGAGCAGCCTCATCTGCTCGTGTGGACTTCCAACGATTCATTCAGCGACGTCCGCTCAAATCATTGTTAACACCTCGCGTTCCTTTTCGCTTTCCTCTTCTTCACCTATATACCTACTTCATATCCGAACCAGACGCAGACGATTACTCAGGGCTCCAGAGCGTTCAGCATCGGCGCAGAGAATCCATATTTTCTTCTACGTCCCTGGTAGCAGAGGGCTCGTAAGACAGCAGTGTACATTTCAATCCTATCCTTCCCGATCACCACCTCTTTCTTTCGTTCTCTTCAACCTCTTTCCGTCCGTAACCATCGTTAGCTTACTCGTAGATCCCAGAGTGTGGGGAGAAGACGAGACGAGACGAGACGAGATTGTCTGCTGCGCCTGGTGTTCGACGGGTCGAGAGAGACGTGTTCTGATCTAGCTACAAATCCACAATAGTGTGATCTGACCTAAGTCTGCACTCCCACCCTCGCTCCTTTCACATCCTTGTTCGATTCGCCCGACTGTTCTTTCCCGGAACTCATCCCTGTATCGGTCTGCTCGGAAGAAACCAGGGATTACTCTCACCTTCATCTAGCCAGATTTTTCGGAGGTCGCTTTTCTTTAGCACACAAGATGGCATACCAGTATCCACCCTACCAACAAGGGGGCCATTACCCGCCCCAGCCCCAGGCCCAACCCCAATATCAACACCAACAACACCTTCAACAGCCCCCTGTTGACCCGTTCCGAGCATATTATGCAGACCGATTGAGACAGCTTACCTTCAACTCTCGTCCGCTGATTCAAGACTTGTCGGTTACCGCGATGAGTCAGCGCGATCAGAATAACTGGGAAGGGATGAAAATCGTCGTCGAGGAGATTGAATCGGCCGTTCTGAGGGTAGGTCGGCATGTCACGTCTGTAGATTTGTCTGTTAAAGGAAGGGCGGCTTTGGTCGATGGTCATGCGATGCAATATGTTGATCGAAATTCGACGCTCGGTACCAGAGAAACTTACTAATCGTATTTCACATTGTACCTTCACACTCTAGGCTCTACCGCAACAGAAGCTACCTTTGCTCTACCTGATCGACTCGATATCGAAGAATATTGGCCCGCCATACACGACCCACCTCCTACCGCCGATTATCCCGCGATTATACCTCAGGACGTATCGCGAAGTGGACGGGGTCACGAAAGCCAAGATGGAGGAGATGATCAACCTCTGGCGGACGAGTGGACCCAACCGTGGCGATCTCTATGGACCCGCCGTGCGAGAGCAGATTGAAAGGGATATATTCGGATCGTCTGCGATCGGAGGAGGAAGAGGGGGAGGCGTTCCGTCTATCGGTAGTAATGTCGCTAGGGGAATGCCATCATTGCCATCTCTCCAGCAAGTCAGCTCGGCCGTCCAAGCTGCTCTGGAAAATAAACAGCGAGAAGCTGCTTCGAGGAACTGGGACCCAGCCGTCAGCCAGCAGGTAAAAGCTTTGTCAGGTATCGCCCAGCTACTAAACACCACGGCCGTCTCACCGCAAGAATTGGCTCAGATCATGGAACAGGTAACGGTCATCGCACCGCCTCCTCCCACTCCGACGGCTCAGTCACAACCGGCCTTCAGCCCTATGCCCACACCCCAGTGGAGCGGTGCTCCCGCAGCTGCCGGTATTCCACCATTCCCACCTAATATACCTGCCAGTGCCGCTCGACCACCTTTCCAACCGAACCTTCCCACCCCACCTCCCGCGACTGGAGGTATCACCCCGATCCCTGGCTCTTCCACTCCGATCCCGGCTCAGGCCCCAGCCCCTGCTCAACCGGTGCCTGTCCCTGCCATCTCCGTCCCACCGCTGGCGGGTCTACCCATCGACGTGAGCAAGATCCTCAATAGCTTGAATAAGTCGGGTATTGTCAGTCAACCTCGGACTCCCGAGGCTGAAGTAGTTGCTCTGAAGCCGAAATCTTCGCTTGACACTTACGAGGATATGATTATCAACATGAATATCAAGCTGAGAAATATCGATCTGAATGCGTGAGTCGTTGTGTAGATCAAGATGACAGGTGTGCTGACTCATGTCGTCCTCCTGTCCAGACCCCACGTGCTGTCCCTCGACCACCTTCCACACAGATGTAAACAATGTGGCATGCGATTCGTTGCGGACGACGCCAAGTTCCAGGCGCACATGGACTGGCACTTCAGACGAAATAGAAAGGAACGCGAATCCGGCGGTCGAGGTGCTCACAGAAGATGGCTCCCTAGGGCAGAGGTGAGTGCGGCTTTTACAGAAGTGCTTCTTGTTATGCTGACTGCCATCGCGCAGGAATGGATCAATGATACCACCGAATCAGGGCCGTCGAACGGTGTCTCTTCACCTGGCAAACTGAAGCCTTCAGCCGCCACAGCTCAAATCTCAGCTGAACGGCTCGCCCAATTGCGTCAGAAATGGGTCAAAGTCCCTTCCGACTCCAAGAAGGCTGCCGCGGTCTGTCCTGTCTGTAAAGAGGCCTTCAAGTCTGAGTATTCTGAGGAAGAGGAAGAATGGGTCTGGAAAAATGCCATCAACATCAACGGCGTGGTGAGTGGGCGTGTGTGTGTGTGTGTAAAATAACTGTCCATGACAGCTGACTCGTTGTTTCGCAGGTGTATCACGCGACTTGTCGGGCGGAGCAGCTGTCTGCGCTTAGACGGTTGAAAGGTACCGATCCAAGCAAGAGAAGTACAAGTGGCAGCCCGCGCCTCACCCCTCAGCCGGAACAGAGCTCCGCGGCTCAAGCTAAGCCCGAGCCTGGTGCCACACAAGCGATGTCAGCGCAAGCTCAGGCGAAGCGGAAAGCCGAAGCTGAGATCGAGGAAAACGGAGGAAAGACCGAAGAAGGGGAAGCGAAGAGGGTGAAAGTCGAGCCTGGAGAGCCTGGATCAGAGGTACCTGCGACGGGTCAAGATCATGTGGGAGAGGGTGGCACTAGCTTAGTAGCTGAGACCGCTCCTGAGGATGATACAAGCTCAAGTATGGCGGTAGATCAGTCATTGGGAAGTGTAAAACAAGAAACGTAGAGAACGGTTGGTGGTAGCGCATGGCTTGGTCAAGTTCTCTAGCCAGTCAGCTTCGTTAGATAGCGGAACATTCATCAAAACAGTCCAGTCACAACACACATAGCATGCATAGCGGAGCATTTTCTCAGCGTAGACTTGTACTAAGCAGCGACCCAATCATAAAGTTTCATGTCAAACAATGCATTATCTTCTCTGCAATATGGGGTGATACTACAGGTATTGTACGGTGTCGTATTGTAACTATGGTGCGGTGCCACTTGACTGACACTGACGGTTGCCACTAAATATCGATGCGTCACTCGGGCGTTATCCGATTCCACCTCATCTCGCATTCAGTGTAGTCAACTTACTGGCTCCTTTCAACCACCATCGACATCTGTCCTTCATTTCTGCTTTTGCATACATAACGCTCAGCTCTACAGAGTCAATACGCCGCCTCCAACATTCAGATCGCACCATGCGGATCTTGTCACTTGCATCGGCGTCGCTCGCCTTGCTCCCCATAGCGCTGAGCAAAGTTCATTCGGCCCAACAACCCCTGCAAGTCTATCTTTACCCGACGCCGACATCCCCTTCGCTGACCGACAGCGCACACTCAGCGCCCACGCTTTCGGCTGCCCAGGCGAAAGCTGTCCTCTCTCATCATCTAGGTGAAGGCCTGGGCGCCTTTGACGAGATACCCAGCGATGAGGGCATGTGGAGTCATCTGATGAGTATGTGGAATGGAGAGCAGGAGGGCGAGAAAGCCAGGATGGTCGTGCTTGACGGTGGTGTCACCCCTCAAGGTATGTTGAGCGGATGGTTCACGAACATGCCTAAGAGCTCCTTCTAGTGCGAGGCATATCATGCATCGAGAAAAGTCACCAGGGGCTGTCATCTCGTCGAGCCTCATCGTCATTGCTGATTACCGTCGCTAATGGCCTGTATCCGCGCACCCCATTAGACGTCCTCCCCACGACCCTATCCCAGCCAGCGTTCTACCTCGACGATGACGACTCGACAGACTTCTTGCTCCAGCCATACTTGAATCAAGCCAAGAGCCTGCTTGCGCATGTCCTCGACTCTATCCCCGACTTTGCCAAGTCTTTCAAGGATGTCTTTGACATGGCTGGAACAAGTGAGTAGGGCTATGGATTCATGATGTTCCACTGAAATCGGACCGAATTCTCCTCCTCACGTATCGTCTAGAGGGGCGGCATTAGCCCATGCACTGGTTATGTATGGCAGATCCGCTGACTCGTTTTCCGTCACTGCGTTTCACAGAAGCCGCCGCCGCCCTCGGACATGAGCTCTCATGCCTCACCGCTCTGGCCGATTCCATCCCCTTCCTCAACCATGGCTCATACCCGTGGGAGGCTATTTCCATCTCCGGCTTCAATGATATACAGCGAGGAGAAGAGGTCTGGGAGACTGGTCGATTGGGAGTCAAGGCTGGTCTCGAGTCTGTGCGTATCTTACCTCACCAAGTGTCATCTATCCCGATCCACCCGCTGTCTTTGCATCACCAGTGTACGCTCAGCTCAGCCTGACCTGAACTGTGATCACCTTCATAGATGACCTCGCCCAACTCTCCTCCTTTGCTCGTCATCATCCGACCCAGCTCTTCTTCGGCCAACAAGCGACTCACGTCCCGAGCCGTTCCCCCGACTCTTCAGAAGAAAGACGAGGACAAGACCCCGCTCGCCGATACGTGCTACGCCTCCCAGGAATCCTGCGAGGAAGCCACAGAGTGTAACGGTCGGGGATCATGCGCTTTGAAGGGCAAGATCGCGGATGGAGAGTGTTGGGGATGCAAGTGCCGAAATGGGTATGCGGGTGTAGAATGCCAGAAGGATGACTACTCGACGTGAGTGACGTGATAGTCCACCTTTCATATGCTGAACTTGTCT